AATATCTGTGGTGTAATTTTTTTAAAGATGAAATTTCAAGGGAAAGCTGAGAAAATCCTAATATTTACATATTATACCATTAACCTATTTCACCAAATGAAAAGACATCGCCAGTTTAAATAATGTTGCCGAAGGCTGTCATCGTTATTATGACTGTTCGATCGTGATCGGGAATAGTTTTCACTATTGGATGTATATCGCGGCATTTGGCAACGTCTTTGAATTTCACGAAATTGGTCGAATGGTACAATACGCAAGTACTAAAATTTTTTTATTAAGTATATTGTGAGTGTAAAGCCAACAAAAAACAGTTTTATTCCTTAAAAACTTGATTAAATTTTTTGAATCAAATATTTTTTTATTTAACTTTTTAGGAGCTTTGTTTATTTCTTCTTAATTGCTACACTCTATTATTAAAAACAAATTTTATACAAGAAAAGTATTTTTGAGTTTATATTGTGGTTGTTAATATTCCATTTTACTTGAACATTCAATAATAATTAATTATTTCATTAATATTTATTTATAATTTACTTAGAAGATATAGTTGTTGTTGTTACTGATGCCACCTGTCTGACGTTGTCAGATCGAGGCCCACGAAATTCATCATGGCATCCGGCTAGATTGCACGCCTGTCGTTAGCCGTAGCTTTGAGCACCATGCAGGTGACAGTACGATTTGGCTCGGTTCCAACCCAATTTTGAGAGAGAACACCCTGGGAGTGATCAGGGGCCTCCCACCTCTCTTCCCCCAACCTCACAAGAGGACTTGTTGCTTGACGGCTATTTAGAGTATCCCCATGCCGCGATGGCACTATACATTTACAAACATCCATGCCTTCTCCGGGATTAGAACCCAGGCCCTACGGCACAGCAGTCAGCGTCGCTAACCACTATACCGGATGGGCGACAGAAGATGTAGTTGTGTTATTAGTGATAAAATAAAGCTGTGCAGATGAATAATTCTAAGGAATATTTTTTCTTTCATAAACATGATCGTCAACTTCGCTGTAATTTTTATTTCCTATTAAGTAAGGATTATAGTTTATTTTTAATTTTGCTTATTTAACTTGAAAATTGTTTGTTGATACAAAGAGCCAGATATCCATTTTGAGCATATTTTCATACAGAAATGCGTTTCATTTTCCACATATCGACCACATTAATGGATATGACAATACTGCATGTTTGAAATTTAAAAACTTGCCTTAAAAAGGGGTATTGCCCTCAACACGCTAAATGAAAACACTTATTTAACATAATTATGAAGGAGTCAAAATATGAAATGCATTTTATAATAGAAAATATTGATTCACGGTGAAATGAGTATGACAATAAAATCAGCTTGTTACATTGGAGAACGAAGTCAGAATATTATATTGTTACATAGATCGGGGTTCGAGGATTTTATGCAAAATCAGTCGTAGATAACAAGACAGTTCTTTAAGAGCGATGATAATTTATTGTCGAAAATCATTCCTTGAAACACAGGATTCAACAGCAAAATTCGCAGAATATATTTCAGAAGGATTTCACACCTTCAACAGCACTTAGACACAATTATCAGTATCCAAAATACACGTATATATAAGCTTATTCACAAGCACAGCCGAGCTAATCACTGTCAAGACAAGTTTACTAATCACTAGTCAAAACCAGACTGACTGTTGCGGCGAGTATCGCTCTTTTTTTTGCCGTGGCCGAAACTTCCAGAAAGATGCGTTCGCGTCATGGATAGTGAAATTAGTGGATTTCTCTACTAACTTCTAGAAGAATCCAGAGGGTCCCGAACTCGCCAACATGGCCACCAATGTCACCAAATTGGTCCACAAAAATGATGCCAACTTGGCTCTATCGCCAATATTTCGTCAAGTTCCCATTGAATCGCCATTTTAACGTAAGGGACAGCGTTGCTTGTAAATATTACAATTTTAACATGAAATAAATATAGCATAGATTAATATTTAGGCATTGCACATCCAAATACAATTTATTTACATTATTTTATACAAAATTCGTAACAATATTATTGATGAGGCAATTAATTTTCCATCTAAAAACGTATTCCAAGTTTGAGTCCTCAATATTATATGCAAAACTAGTCTTAAGGAGGACAGCAAGGATACAAGGAGGATACAAGAGAGAGACGACTAAAAAACATTTTATTTTGCCTAAATATATTCAAAGCACTGAATCCTGCTCTTTTTGTTCAGATTTTAGAGAAACATCATTTGATTTTTTTTCATGAAATATATTTATTAGATGCAAACAGAAATTTTTAAAAAACAAAGTGATATTTTTGATAAGCGAAATGACTTTTTAGAAAGAAAACCACTGAATGGATTTGTTCAGATTATTTGGGAATAATTACAATAGGAATTCAGCTAATAAAAATTTAAGTATAATGTAAGATAAAATATTATCCGATACACGATACTTCAAGCAAACAGAATATTTAAAAATTTTATCTCGTTTTGCGTATCTCAAATAAGGGACTCGCGCTAATTGAATTTACAAATTCGCTTGCGTTTTTTATGATCTTTGCATGATGCATTTTCTTGACTAGTATATTCCAAGTAGTTTAAAAGTACATCATTGTATGTTTTAGAATGCTTGAGCTTTCATTTGTGTCATGATAAAAATATAATGATAATCATGTTATGTTAATTTTGCAAAACTTTAAGTTGGATATCAAATCTTTAAAGCAATGACTTACTTCTGGGTGTCGATCAGCTATATTATTCATTTCGCATGGATCAGCTGTTATGTTATAAAGACAAGGAGCTTCCAAAGGATTGCACTCATTGGCTGTTTCGGGAACACCATCGCACTTAACCTCGGAACCCTTTCTCCACGTATCTGCTGTTTGTGGCAAATACAACCCCATTTTTCTTAAAAGGTCTAGGACTATACTGCCATTTTTGAAAACCCATTCATCCATAGATCGAGGTTTGTCCATATCTTCCAGGACCGCTTTACCACTCCAGGTTTCCAAGCCCGTTGTCAAGTTGCCTGTTATTAATTTCAAATCACCTTTTCTGAGAGATGAAACGTTATCAATGGGATCGATGTTGTGGAGTATGAGGGTTCGTGGAGAAGGTGAATTAGTTACTAGAGCCTCCCATACGCTCTCCCCATCGATAGCTCCTAAGTTTCTGGGGTCGCCTCCTATGAATTTTCAAAAATAGAACACTTTAAAATCTTTAGATAATGAAGAAAAAACACTGAAAACTTATTCAGTAAATAGCTATTTTAAATCAATTGTATTATTTTGCAGAAAATTGGAATATGTTGTAAGTATGGTGATTTCCTAATGGAAAGTTTAATTTTGAAAACTGATTACATTCATCATGGAATAATAGAAAATAGAAGATGTAGAAATATATCATGAATTGAAATGAAAGCTGGAGAATTAAAGTATTGTCTTCTATTGGTTAACGCAACATTTCTTAAACTGGGGGGGTGCCCCTCCCCTACGGGATGGAATATCCCTATGTGAAGAAGGGCTAAGATATTTAAAAAACGAAATTAAAAAAATTAAAATAAGTATTAATTTACTAAAACGAAGTAAAACAAAATACATTCTGACATAATAAAAATTAAGTACACATTTTTACACTGATATAATATATTTATAAATGTATCAGTACTATAAAAGGATTTTTTGATTAATTTATCAATAGTAAATTAAAAACAAGTTTAATAATCAATAGTGCCTTTCATTGAATTGTCATATACAGGATTTAATAATTATCTTGATAATCTGTATAGTTTAAAATTGAAGTCGATTGTAGCTTTAGCGTCAAAGTACATTTTTATTGCATTCAATACATCATTATTGTAAGGGGGGAGGGCGATGAAAACTATGATTGAAAATTGGGTCACCAATATTGAAAGCTTGAGAAGCACTGTGTTAACGTGATCATCTTAGTAAAATTTTTTAGAGCTCGGTTCAGACCTCGCTGTTATTCAGCTCCCTTTAACTATTTTCGGCAGACACCGCGTCCTCAAATTTCCATTTAGTTCGATTCTTACAAAATTATCATTTTTCGAATACAAACTCATGTTATTTTTTCAATTCCTACTATTAGTTCACTCTTTCCCTATATATGTCATGTTTCCGAGTAACATCAAGACATTTGGAATAAATGATTTTTATTCAACGAAAACATTTTGAGATCTGCTTGCTAAGAGAGAAACGGACACCAAGTTTTAGAATCTGTAACCACTTATAGGCCAGATGTTTTTCAAGTACACTTCTTATTAAAGAGGTATATTTGAAAGTTAAGCAGGACATACGAGGTAATAAAAATTAATGGTCGCAGATAAAAGTTCCGTTTAGGGCCATGTGTTCTTCATTCCCGAACTGGATAGTAAATTTAATACTTGAAGATGTAACGGAAAATAAAAGTTAAATGGGGTCTAGGGATTTAATTTTAGATCTAATATATATATATATATTCCCTACACAATTCTCTCACAATTAAATTCTCTACACAACATTTAACTTTTATTTTTATATCTTCAAGTCTTAAATTAAGCACCCCCTTATTTCGCGGAACAGAGGACCCCAAACAGAACACTTTTAATCCCCTCATACGTCATGCTTAACTTTCAAATATATATCTTCAAAAAGAATGGTACTTAGAACATCTAGATATAAAGTGTAAGCCACTTATACTTCACTTGCGTGTCCGTTTTCTCTCAGAGCAGGCGCAGAGATTGCACGTTGAATAAAAACCATTTTTTATGAAAAGGCTTGGAGCTGATTAGAAACACGACAGATATATATCTTGTTCAAATTTTTTAATTCGTTAATAAAATATTTTCTGTTTATCCATTCAAGTTCGAATACATTTATTTAAACTTGTAGTGGATCATTTGGTGTTAATAGAATTTTTTCAAATATTAATTCATTAATAAAATTCAAAAATGAATAAATAATAGTAAACAAAAATAATAGTCCCAGCAGCATATGCAGAGAAGAAAATCGTACGTTTTATCCCTGTAGCGCAATGGATAGTGCGTCGGACTTCTAATCCAAAGGTTGTGTGGACTCAAATCCCACCTGGGATGGCCTAATTTCTGAGAATGCGATTTATCTTTACTATACTATTTTTTAGAATAATTAAATTTAATTAATGAATAAATAGTAACAAGCATAAAAAGTAGTCCAACACCATATATAGAAAGGAAAATGGAAAATTGCAATGAAAATCACTTTTTATTTTGCCACTTAATATTGTGATTCTGTCATATGTATATACATATTTGTATTAATTGTAACTATTTAATAAAAAGTAATTAAAATAAAATTTTCTTTGTTGACTTAAGTAGGAATTGATTTAATTTTTTTATATTACTTGTTTTTCTATCATTCTGGTGTATTTATAAAGACTTTGTCGTTATGCCACCTACTGAAAATTGGCTCGAGCTCTCTGGACAAACCAATACATAATTAGAAAATCTCAAAAAGTTTTTACTTCGATAGAATATTATTCAAACCCCGTATTCAGGCTCAAATAATCTTCACATAAACAAAGACCCTAATTTAATTAAGTCTACAGGACAACAAAATGCTCTTTACAACTCAAAATGGACTAACATTTTCTTTTGCCCACAATTGCAGTCAGCTGAATACAATTATTACCTCAAAAGTCTTTTTTTTCACTTTTTGCTCTTGGTAAATGAACTTAATTAGGCCTTTCCCAGTTCTTCACCCTTAACGCGTTAACGGCTTACTAGAAGATTACTCGGAATTTTTTTTTTTGCGTTGAGACCTACGACATCAACTGTAAATTATTTCCTACTTTGCTTACTTCCCATGTTTGTGCAGCTGCCATGAAATTATTATTACAATAGATTAAATATGAATTTCGTGGGATTGGTACAATTTGCATTTATAAATATTGGTCTTTTTTACAGAGGAATCACAAAAAAGAAATTACTGTGGCCATTCAATGTATTAAAAGTCTTCCTTACTCGCTTTTTTCTTCCTTCTCGGTTGTTTAATTTTATTACTTTACACACGCAATTTTTTAAAATACCTTTTTAGTCAAACTAGTTAGTATAGTTTAGTCTTTTTTTAATCATTCTGAGCATGAAGCATTCCATACTGGAGCTAACCCAGGTCTTATTTTCCATTCCGTTTACCTAAATCAACCGTTTAGCCGCATCTGAATTAGCTAAGTCCTGTCCCTTCGATCTGATAAACTTTGCACAATCAAGTCTTTTAAATTTTCTGTTTCACTCTCTTTTTAAATAGTTATAATGAATGCCTTTATAAATTCTTTTTAATCCTCTCTGTAACTTATTTCGTATAACATTTTAAATTATTAGCATATGTGTTGAATAAATTTATGGCTAATGTATTTTTTTTTTTTTTTTGCTGGACATTAAAATCCCACAGAGTTGCCAGAAAAGAACCATTGATGTCACTTTATTGTCGCCCAAAATTACGAGGGCAAAATTACCGATTGCCCTCGTCGTGCCTTACTCCCTTCCCCACTTTTTCCGAGCTAAGCTAGGGCAGGTGAAACGTACCATTCTTGCTCATCCCGAGTATAATTCGGGCACAGTGAAAATTTATACTGTGCAATTGGTGTCTTTCCCAAATTATTTCACATGTATTTCTTATGATTTCGAGGCCGTGGGTAGCCTAGTGGTTAGGGCATCGGACTCCAGACCGGAGGGTCTGGGTTCGATGCCCGATGTCACTAAATACAACCGAGTATAGACGGAGTACATGCTCGTTAAATCAGTGGGTCCGAAAGTCTTTTGGCCGGTCGCAGCAGAAACCACGAGTGCAGGGGGCTGGAGAATATTTCCCTCCCCTTCAGTTCCATGCCAAAATTGTGGAGGTGGAGATAGGTGGTGTCGCCATCTATCGTTAAGGAGTCCAACCTGTGTCTCACAGGCAAAGGCAACTTTCTTTCCTTCCCCGCGGGAAGGACACGACAACAACAACAACATGATTTCGAATTAACTAAAAAATACTACTCGGTGGAATTTTTTTGCAAAACGAGGCAGAACACTCCCCTTCATGCTATTCGGAAAGAAACTTTGTTGACTACATTCCCCAACAGAAAAGAAAACTAATCCAACACGACAATTGCTGCTCACAAACAAACAGAAAGAAAAGAAGAGAAACAAGATTCTACGGTATAAGATTGCGGTGTTGGGTTATGTAATTGTACCATGTTTTCGAATTTATCACACACGATCAAATTTTGGTTAATAATTTCATAATCCTTTATATAAATGCAAAAGATGTAAGTAAAATTTAAAAATAATGATAAAAGCCGGTATTCTAAGCTTTATATTTAGTGAGAATAAATTCCAAAACCTAACGATTTCTGCATACAAAAAGCCAGCTTTACAGGTAAATTATTCATTTATTTAAACAGATTTTTTTAACATTAATTTTTAAGAAATTTTGTATATAAATAGTGCTTTAATGCTGAGAAAGATATGTATGTTTAAAAATAAGCATCAAAAACATTGGCATTCTTTTATCGATAATCCAGAAACAAAATTAATCTGGAAGGGGTTAAAGAGTATCATTCCCTAACCAGTCAAATAGTTTTTTTAATAGTTTTTAGTACAAAAATAAAGGTACTTAAAAAATTTTTAAAAATTGAATAATTGCTTGAAATTTAATTTTATTTCGTCTACATTCCTTTTATTTCAGCATTTAAAGAGTATTTTAGTTTCAGATGTTAAATTAAATAGAAAAGGATCTAAGCGTTTATAAAATGCTCCCTTTAATTTTACACGGTATGTAAATGCAAATGTATGTACAAGAGCCATAAGAGTTTATAATTTAGACCAATTTTTCCATTAAAAATATCTTTTGAATTCGAGTCTTGTTTTTAACATCAAGCAAAGCAACCTTAATATTTAAAGTTTCTTTTACCTGCAGCTCTGTAAAGCGTTGGCAACCAATCTGTCACATGCATTAGTTGCATTGAAACTCGAGGCTTTCGAAGTTTCAAAAGAGGACTCCAGATGAAGGCCGGGACTCTGATTCCACCTTCCCATAGGGTGAATTTCTTTCCCCGTAATGGATAATTAGAACCATAGCCATTTAAACTTGGATCTGTTTCACCTCCGTTGTCAGAAGCAAAGACAAGAATAGTATTAGAGAGCATATTTTTGTCGTGAAGAGCCTCAAATAATTTTCCAATGGAATTATCCAGTGATGCAGTCATTCCTATAAATAAACTGAATACTTTTATGATCTAAGTAATATATATTAATTATACTTAATTCCTTAGAAATTTTGTATTAAATTCTATAAAATGTTAAAGTGGTAAATTTTCTACAAAATATGATTCATAAAAATTTAACGATTTAGACCTGGGGTACTCAATCTTTTTCCATCGGGCTGCAAAGACATGATAGGCATTTCCCGCTGGCCCCATACATATGACAGTTGTTTTATGTGGGCCGCAACATGAGGATAATGAAAAGAAAAAAAACCACTATAATCCCAAAGCAACATTAACAAACAAAATTGATCAAAACATTAAAACTCATTTTTGGTTTTTATTTGAATACTGTATTAAATTTTCTGTTAAACACACACAAATATTTATGGCTTTTTTATTGAGAGAGAGAGAGTTTTGGGATAATTTCTATTTCCTTTTATTTATGATCAAGCCTCTCTTGTTTACATTCTTTTAAAAAAACATATTGATTGCAAAATTGATGCATATTTAATTGCTTGATTAATAGAATTTCCTGCTAAATTTTTAGTACATTGTTCTCCAATAATTGAATTTCTTAGTGGGTCATGACCGGGCCACTCAGAAAAGACCAGCGGGCCACAGGTTGAGTACCTTTGATTTAGACTATATTTCATTTTTGAAAAATCTTAAAATTGGATTATTCAGATTCTGAGTTCAGAAATTCGACTTAAAATACTAATTGTATTTCATTTATAGTGAAAAATTAAAGGGAAAAATTTATTATTTCCTTTTTCAAAAAAAAAAAATGATGTTTTTCGTGGTTATTTGTATTTGTAGTATTTTCCTAGTAGAACAAACATTAATTTGATCAAAATTTTACGAAACTTTTAACATTTATTCATGCATTTTAATATTTTATATAAAAATACAATTAATAATTGTTTGAAAATAAAACATGCGGGAATATTAATTAAAATAATTTCTTTTGAAATTAATAAAGTAAGCGTTGTGTAGTAAAAATGATTCGACTGTATGACTTAGGTATTTTAACTTTTGAGAAAAATATAGAGAAAAAATACTTTACCAGCAAAAGCTCTTCTTGATTGATTTTTTATGTAATAGAATTGGTTAATTAAATCAAGGGGGGCTTGCAAAGGCATATACTGATTTGCAGCATGCACTGCTAAGTGTGCAAGATAGAGAAACAGAGGCTGAAAATAAAAAATAATGATCTTTATTAAACTAATATTATTTGCACATAAAAATACATCCATACCTGCTTCTTTAAAGTACACATTTGTTGCTTAAAAATTTGACAACTTCGTAAGTCATAAGTGTCTCAATAACCCTGTAGTGTCTGGCTACTGTTGGCAGGAGATTATGGAATGTTGGCGCTATTATCGCGTCTTAGGTGATGTGTTACTGTTTTTTAGGGAGAAGGTGATTGACCCTCGAACGGGATGGTCAAGGAAGAGAGAGTCCCTCGTTTTAGTAGCGTGAGGTGGATATGGACGTTGGCCTTGCAGCGTAACGGACAGAGAAAGAAGGGAGCTCTGTTGGTTTTGAGACTGGACTAAAATTGATACCAAGGAAAGATAGTTCTTGGGTTTTGTGTATTGCGCGGAGAATTACGCTTGTCTTTTGCTGCATTGAAAAAGATAGAATTCTGTTCTGTTGACACGACGTTCTGTGTCGTAAAGTAACAAGAAAGTAATAAAGACATTACAAGCCCAATTGTCAAAACCGTGAGTTCCTAATTTCACCAAAGGTCTTGCAAAATAAATGCAATTAGACACATAGTAGAAAAATTGAATTCCAGAAAAAAGTGCCAGTTTAGGTTTCGCTTTTGTATTCTGATCAAGAATAAAAAAACTACGATATCCGTTG